GGTCAGGGATTGAGTGTCATAAAGGGTAGGTTCAGGGCCAGATGGAGACGTCTGAATATGGACCGTGTCTTCGAGAACATCGTGTCAATGTTAAAGCCCTGGGAGGTGAGGATGGCCTTGTTGTCCTGTCAGAGAATGTTCTGATCTTAGGAGATCCATGATAAAGTATTGGAGAGTCTTGATGCCTGCCAAGTTCTCACAAAAGCCTCAAGAAAATAAATATGCAGAGAGAGAGAGAGAGAGAGAGAAGGAACAGAATGGGCAAATGTGGTCAAATGTTTTTGAAGGGGGGATGCCATGGGTAGGACCCACCTAGTGTTTGTCTCAACAAGCCCTGATCCCCTAGGAAGAGTGGCAGCTTGGAGCAGCGGAAGGTGGAGCGGCCCCAGGGCCTGTTCAGGAACCGGTTTATGGGCAGGAGCAGGGAAGGTTCAGATAGGGTGGGGGAGGCTGAAGGCAAATGGGGTGGAAAGACCCAGGGCTCAGGCTCGAGATACGGCCCTTGGTGTAGCCCGAACGGTGCTGTGCCCCGGATCCCCCATCTGTACAAAGGGAAGGGGCGCCTGCCGAGTGAAGAGCAGGTGAGAAATCTCTTGATAACCTGGAGCCTGATGTTTCTGTGTCTGTTGCTGCTCAGAACCAGCTGGAGTCCGGACCCCAGAACATTGGGCAGCAGAAACATGTTAGGACGAGATGCTTAGTGCCTCAGGGCTGCCTCTCTTGCCAAAGACCCCCGTTGAGGCAGTGAGGTCCCCACCCAGCAGGACTGAAGAGCTGGGGCAGGGCAGGTCTGGGCTGGGAGTTAAGCATTCTTTGCTGCCCTTGCTCAGAAAAGGGCCCCCTTGCACCAGACCCCCAAGAGCAGCCGCTTCCTAAGCATGCTGGGAAGGTAGTGTGGCTGACAGAGGGACTCTGGGGTTGAATATACAGATGGTCCAAATCATTGCCTGGCCCTGGCTCTCGTTTCTCGCATTGAACCATGAGCCCCAGAAGGCTCCTGCTTCACCTTATCCTACCCCCATCCCTCATGCTGCTGGCCACAGGGTGCCGCGTCTGGAAATACTTATCAACTGCAGGGCAGACCCAAGCTCTGGCCTGGTCTAACTTGTGTATAAACTGGGATGTATCACATCCTTCCTCTAGGCCTCAGTTTACCCCAAAACTGTAAAAAAGAGTGATCTGTCCCTGCTTTACCTGCTCCTGAGGAATCACAGTAATGTTGAGAAAGAAGTGGTGTTCCGGAGGCCAGCAGATCTGGGTTCAAATCTTGGCACTGCTGCTTGCTAGTTGGTAATAGGAGCCTTCCCATCCCAAGCCTGCATCTTATCCATTGCGGGTGGTAGCGGCCAATGGACAAAGTTATCACAATAAATTGAGACGAAATAAGTACAAGCAACTGGCATGTAGTTTATTGGTTTATTGTCTTTCTTCCCCACCAGGATGTCAGCCTTACAACGCGAGGATTTGGTCTTACACGCTGCTGCACCCTAGCACCTAGGGTGGAACCTGGTATTCAGTAGGAGCTCCCTAAATAATTGTTGCTTGAATGAATGAGTCCACCAGGCACTCAATAAATGTAATTCTAAAAATGTGCTGAGATAAAAAGCTTTGGAAGTTCATGGTTGTTGGGAAAGGAAACTTTAGAGGGCGAGAAATAATCTCCAGGGTTGGCGTGGGTCTGTGCGTCCTTGTCTGACAGAGGATGCCAGGGTTGCTGAACTCGTCTAGACTAGGAACAGACTCGACTCAGGAGAGCTGGGCAGGAGCACGAATGATGAGGAGGGCTGGGGCAGGAAGTGTCACAGGTTGGGGACCCCCTCCCCCCCACCCCCCGTGCATCCTGTCTAATAGGGCTYCCTCATGCTCCCAGGTGGGAAGGCAGGCCTAGTTTCCCAGTGTAACTGATTCTTCAAGAAAAATCCAGAAAGCAATTYCTTTTTAAAGGAAAAACACAAATGAGAGCAAACAAAACACATCTGTGGGCTAGGAGAGACCCAAACTTCCAGGGCAATATGGGCAGAAGGTTCCCCCCTGGAATGACTCCCGAGCTATTCTGGTCTCTCAAGGCCTCTCAGGCAGTCCCAGTCTCTGAGACTTGGGACTCAGCTTGGAGGAAATGCTGACATGACATCCAGATCCAAGAGGCCAGGAAAGAAGCCACTTCCTGAGTCCTTGGGCTCAGGATGGATCTAGGCTTTGGCTCCCAGGCTCAGGATAGGTAGGCTCCCACAGCGTCTGGTCCAGTAGACATTCACTAACTATTCACTGAACAAGTCTTTTCTGGAAAATCAAGATGTGCCTCATCTGGAAAATGGGCCCGGTAATGTGGCCCCCCAACGATCTCACAGGGATAATGAGGAAATCAAGGGAGACTAAAGAGATAGAAGTATTTCTGAAAATTGAAATTGCTTCACAAACGCCAGGTGTCATTATTATGGACAGAACACCTTTGCTAGAGCAGAAGAAGGGGTTCTGGGACTCAGAGGGGCAGAGAATCTGCAAAGACATCACAAGGAGCATCTGGATCAAGTCCAGTAGGACTCATCACAGAGGGGACACATGCTCACCAGCTCCAAGATGGACCATCATGGTCATAGGATACAGGAGCTTATGTGACTTCCTGGCCACCTGGTGTCCAGTTGAGTGGGGTGGGGGGACCCAGTCAGGTCAAGCCATATCTCCCAAGACACAGGATTTCAGGGGAAGCACAAACCCCATATACGCTGCTCATGAAATAGAGAAACTATATAAATAACATAAATACTTTCCCATATATCTTAGCTATATAAATTATTCTCGTTTGCTCTAAAAACTATATATGTGAGGTAGACAATAATACCCTGTGAGCTTTTTTCCCTTAAAGCTAGTGAAGGAGGGGACAGTGGCTGCTCTGGTCCCTTGGGGGCCCCAATGGGGCTAAGGTGGGTCTCTCAGGGTAAGTGAAAGAGAAAGGGCTGAGATCAAGGAACGAGAAGGGAAGGAGAGGGCTGCACTGAGAGGACCCTATAAACTGAGGCACACTCAGAGCCTGCACCCAGACCCACGACCTGAGGTGCCAGGGTCAGTGGCCAGCCTTAGCTGGGGTCCTCTGAGTCTACCCTTTATCCTCCTGCAACCCCAGCTCTTCCAGCCATAGAGTTGGGGTGCAGATGGTAAGGGTGGTAGGTCAGGGAGCCCCGGGCCTCAGGTTGTTTCCAAGTCCCTCTTCCAATCTGTGCAGCCTCTGCTGCCTTATGCCCAAGCCTGAGCCAGGGGAGGCAGAGCCGGGGTCACAGAGGAGCAAGACAGATGGGCGGGCAGAGACAAGTCTCAAATCAGCAGGGAAGTAGAAAAAAACTAGAAAGTGGGCCCTTGATRGTTTTTTCCTTCTCCTGCCAAGATGTGGGCCAGCTGCTTGGGTCAGCAAAGTCAATCTAGTGAGGAGTCTCAGGTCAGTTCGGCTTCTTATTGGAGCCTCTGCCATCCAAGATCCTTCTAGCATCCCCAGGCTGCCCTGAGCCCCTGGAGACAGGGTGGCCCGTGCAGGCCCCTGGAGGTCTCGGGGAGGCCGCTGGGCCCAGCCATGGGGCTTTCTTCCTGGATCTGGCATCAATGAGGGTTCTGAGCACTTGGCTGATTCTGGAGTTTCCTGTTTCAGCAGAGGGTCAGGAACCCTGGGTTCAGGAGGAAAGGAAGCTTACAGGAGGGGCGCAGTGGGGCTGGCCAAGTGTCCCAGAGCTTCCCGAAGGAGGTCACTTCCTTCTGGCTGGCCTCAGGCCTTACTGTGGTGAAGCACATAACCTCCAGCAAAATGACCCCTGTGAGGTCTTCATCCTGCAGCAGAGGAGATGTGAGCCGCTCCACGGGACTCCCTGCCTGGTTCTAGTGTCAGATGCGTGTGGGTTGCCCGTGCGCGTGAGCCAGTTTCTCTCCTTCCACACAGGGCCTTCGTAGGTGGCCCTGGAAATGTCCACAGCACCCAAGGAAGTTAGCAAAGTCACTTCTATTCCTCAGGTAGAAGCCCAAGTGAGGGGCCAGGCTTCGCAAAGTCTCTGCCAGGGCAAAAGGCTGAATTGGATAAGCAGCCACGAGAGTAGAAATGGAACCCAAATCCCAGTTCACAAGCCAACAGCTCTTCTGCATCACCAACATCAGCAGGTGTGGGGGCCTCCCAGCCCAGGGCACCCCAGCTGTGGGGAGGTAGCCAGAATGAGTGCTAGATCAGGCTGGAACACTGAGCTTCCACTGGGTACCAGAAGGCTGTCACCCTCCTCTGGGCTGCAACTAAAGGTCCCTTTGATCATCAGGGAAAATGAGGAGGGGCCACTGTCTCCCATTCTATCTGCCTTGCCGGTCTCATTGAGCAGGGTGAGCGGCTGTGGGTAACTCAGCTGTAGAGACAAGCATGAAGCCCCAATGCAGGCCTGTTTGAAGAACCTGGGGCATGTACCCAACTTGGGTCCACTCAAGCCCAGAAAGCTTTTCTTGCTCTAAGCAAGTAGCTCCCACCACCATCTCTAGCACAGCAAAGCCCCTGGTGCGGTACAAACATAGGGCACCCAGGGCTCGCTGCAATCTGAACAGGGCCAGGGGATTGGACTGGCCCATCCCAGACAAAAGCCTAAATGTGCTTCCAGCTGGCACTGCCTCCCCTGTGTTCCCCCAATGGCTTGCTGGCTCCAGGCCACACATCCGGGGAATTGAGATGGCCAGATAACCTCTCCCCCCTGCACAACCTAATCATGCCCTCCTCTTGCTCTCCCTTGTTTTCCTCCCTGTCCCTTCCCAGTCTGCCCTCCTGCTTCAAGTCCTCAACAAGGTCGGGGACCCTTGGGTTCAGGGGCAAAGCCCTGTTTCTCTTTGCTGAGTGTTGAGGGAGGCAGAGGTAGGCCGAGGGTCTGTGGAGGGAGGAGCGCTGAGCYGCACACGGTGTGCACTGGTGCGTGCATCAGTGTGTGCACGCAGCTGTGCAAGCAGGCTGTGGAGGTCCTGGCAGTGCAGGCAGGCTCTGGGGCAGCCGCCTAGCGCTTACAGGTGTACACGAGCTCCTGCTGCGCACACTGCTGGCACTCCACATAGCAGCACCATTGTACCTGGCAGTGGCAGGAGAAAGCCACCAGGCGGCTCTGGGTGTCATAGCCGCGCCCGCAGCACAGGCTGCCACAGCTGGCCTCCCGGGAGCACACCCTTCCCGCTGTGCCCGGCGAGTACTTGCTGGGCCTGCAGAAGCTGGGGGAGTCCTCCATGTACACCAGGTCCCCGGGCCGGGGTGCCAGGCCCTTGGTGGCGCTGCCTGGCTTGGCAGGTGCCCACAGCTCCAGACGGCCCAAGGCCTCATTGGTAGCGCTGGACACCTTGACGGCCGAGTCGTAGCGCAGCTTCAGCACCTGGCCCGTCTCACGAAACGGCGAGAGCTGCTTCCAGCAGGTGCGCACGGCACAGGAGCCCGACACGCCGTGGCACTTACAGGTGGTCCTGAGGCCACTCTTCACGGCCTGCAAGGAGAGGCAGAGCGGAGGCCTGGTCAGAGGCTTGGGCCCAGCACCCACACCAGCCCCCAAGTGCCAACCCAGGCAGAGGAGTGTCAGGAGGATGAGAAGGGGACAGGAAGGCTCATGTGAGGGAGACAAATGGCAAGAGGCTCCCATTCCTCTAAGAGGGGYACACCTTGATGAGAGCCGTGTGGGCCAGATCTCAGCCCCAGCTCCTCCCTTGGGCTTGGCCTGAAGCCTTTGCGGCGTATACAATCTGCACAACTGAACATAGCAGCCTCAATGATAAGGACACAGAAGACAGAATTCAGTTTCCTCAAGAATTGGAGCACTGGTCTCTGCCCACCTTCTCCCTCCACTAGAGCTAGATACTTATTACCCTCCGCTCTCCCACTACTATTGTGACTTTGGCTAAGTCCCTCCCCTCTCTGGACCTCCTGCATCTTCCTATCCATGAAATGGAGGAGAAGCAGGGGTTACACTAGGTCAAAACTATGGAATGATGTTGGCTTTGTCCTTGAAATGAAGGCCTTTCTCCAAACACATTCCTGCTTCACCAAAGCCTGGTCCCAGGCCTGGCTCCTCCCACTGCCCAGCCATCCATGCTGCGCAAGACCCTCCCAACTTCTACTGCGTTCCTGGTATCTGGTCATAGACCAGAGTGGATGCTCAGAGAAAGTCAGTAGAGTTCATGAAGTTCATGCTGGGATGGCTGTGGGGTGGGGTGCTAGCCTCCTATAGACCTTGCTCTCTGACTCTGCTACCTGCCTGTGGGTGGTACTTTGGGCAGTTGGGGAGGGTGCTCACCTTGATGCCCACGTGGGTGTTGTGGGCATCCGCCCGTGCCCTCAGGTCCTTGCTTCCTCTCTTGGGCCCCAGGAAGTTACTCAGGAACTTGGTGCTGTACTTGAGATTGTCACCACACACACCCCACTGCCAGGCCTGCCGGCTCTCCAGGCCAGGGGAGTCGTCACAGGTGCAGCGCTCCATGCGCCCAGCACTGCACGCTCGGGCCAGTGCATGGGTGAGGGCGGCCGAGGACACCGCGTACAGGAAGGCCGTCTCCTTAAAACCTGTGCCAGGCACCCAGGGGGCATCAGCAGGAAGGAAGAGAGAAGCTCAGAGGTTGTCCATGCTCTCTGAGGGCTGGCGGGATATGCCCTGCGGGTTCCTTGTGCTCCCTGACACTTTTCAAACAGAGTGACCTTGGGTCTCCTGCCTGACTTTCCCAGACTGAGCATCCTCCCCACTTCCAGGACCACTGCTATGCTTACACTGTTGGGGAGTGGATCCAACCTAGCTTCCTAGGGGGCTCACTGTCTTCTGCTTTCCAATGTATCGGGGTCGTGTGACACATGGAGAGGCGGGAAGCAGGCTACKACCTCTGCCCCAGACCCTCCCTTGCCATCAAGAGCAGCTGGCCTAGAAGGGGGCGGGCTGCCTGCCCCATCACCATGTTGTAGAAGTCCCCACTGTAGCACTTTGCACTTGGCAATGGAGTCACCCAGTGACTGCATCTCCCTTCTAGACCACATGCTTTCATCGGGCAGATGGGACACATTTGGCTCTGTCCCTCCAGCACCCAGCACAGTTCCTGGGTCRCTGTGGGCCTCCATGCTTAGGGGGYGATGGGTGGGTGGAGGCACAGAGCGWTGGATGCAGGAAGAAGGGAGGGAGGCAGAGTGGGAGGAGGGGYGGGGGTGAACAGAGACAGATGAATAGTGAGTTGGTGAATCAGCGGCTTCGTGTACTCCACCAGTGACTAATGCCTCTGATCCTATGCCCTCCTGCGCCTGCCTCACACGCGTGTGGAGAAGGCCCTGGGAGGTGGCTGGGGCTCTCTGTCTCATCTGTRGGCTCCTCCAGCAAAGGACTTGTATCCCCCTTCTTTTCTGTCTTCCTTGATCCTCTTTTATCTCCAAACCTGTAGTTAGGCCACAAYTGGCCTTTAGTAGACCCTCACTCACTCCCCAAGGCCCTTCTCATTTGAGGCTGTTCCAGGAAACCCAGGGCAGTGTGACCTGCTGGGTCCCCCAAGGCCTCCTCCTCCTCCCTCGTGGTCCTCCCCACCCTCCTCCCCACCTCTCTTGAGCAGGCCGGTCCTCCCCTCCAGGCTGCAGTTCCAGCGCTCATGCCGGAACTGGAACTGACATTCCAGCAGGCCGAGGTGGGCCGCGTCCCGCAGGGTCTCAGCCAGGCCGGGCTCCCTTCGGCAGAGCTGCTTCTGTCTTCGGGACAGCTTCAGCAGGTCGCACTGCTTCAAGTGGACCCCGCTCTGTGCTGGGGCTGCCTCAGTGCCCAGGCCTGGGAAGGGCGTCAGGACCTCCCGCCCAGTCAGGCTGCACAGGACGAGAGAAGGGAGACAGGTGAGCTGAGGGGTCTCGTCTCGACAGGGCAAGGTGAGGGATGACCATCCCTGTGGATGTGGGACAGGTGACAAAAAGGGGCTCTGTTGGAAGGGTCCTTCTTAGGAGCTTCATTTATTGCCCTTGGGGGCAGCAGGCTATACACCACAGTGGGTATGTCCCCATAGGAGACCAAGGTGCTTGTGACAGGATTAGTGCAGAACCTCCAATCCAAGTTTCCCAGAGTCCAGTTTCTGCTCTTACCTGTCCTATTTCCCAAATTTGCCCAATCAGAGAAATCACCTGGGTGCTTTTTCAAAATACAGATTCCCAGGACCCACACTTAACAATTCTCATTCTATGGGTCTGGAGTGGGGCCCAGGAATCTATAGATTTGCCACATTTCCYGGGCAGCTGATAAGACTGGGGAAGTTTGGGGAACATTGCACATAGCATTGCTGACCTCCCAGAGGAGGACATCTTCCTAAGAGGAGCAAACATAAGAGAAAAAATCCCCAGGCACAGTCCCCCATGTGCCTTTCTCTTGCATTATAACACTGCCCAGTAAAACCTGGGTTGTTTCCTGAATCCCAGGTACATTGTCAATCATCTAGCCATTCCAAGCCTCGTCTATGCTTGGGAGRAGGAGGAAAGGAAGGAAGGAAAGAAGGAGGAAGGCTGACAGATGGTTGGATGAAGGCAAATCCCAAGACTTCTTATTCTATATCCAAAGTCCATTGAATCTGGAGTTAGGTGCCAGATTCTAAGACTGACTCTGCCACTTCCTTAGCTGTGCAACTGTGAAGCCTGGGTTTTCTCTTCTGCAAAGTATAAAGAGTGATCTTCCCTTCTTTCCCAGGGTTGCTGCGCGGGTTACACGAAAAGCACGGGCCTCAGCCCTGGGGACACATACAACTTGCCTTCCTGCTGGCTGGGTCCCAAGCTTCTCCCTTCTGCAGAATGTCTTCCTCTCTAACTGGGCAGAGTCTCCCTTTGTCCAGAGGAGGAGAAAGAGTTCTATGAGGAGGTGGTGAGGGCTCAGATATACAACTGCTCAGCAGCAAAGAGGGATCTAGAAGTAGGGCTCAACCTCCCTCCTTCCAGAAGCTTTCTGTGACATGGTGCTACTAGTTCAAGATGCTTGCTGTCCCCTGGTGGCCTGCCCCCTCCCCCGTGTGGGTGGATTATACCCCATTCCAGGACCCAGCAGGAGGAAGCACCCCTTTCCTGGAACATGCCAGCCTCATAGCCAGAGTCAAAAGGCAAAGACTATGGCTCATAAAGCTCCTGCTTGAAAGGGGCACTTGCCACCTTTGCTCATGTGTCACTGGCCAGGTAAGCCCTGTGGCCAAGCTCCAAGGGGCGGGAGAGGCCATCCTCCCACTGAGCAAGGGCACAGGCTCTCCTGTTCGGAGTCACCTGCCTTCCCCAGGACATTTGGCTGGATGCCACACCCTCCCTGTATGCATGGGGAGCAGGCAGCCTCACTAAAGGGTGTGGGTCCTGGCCAGGCCCCAGGTGCCCTGTAGATCCCAGATCCATCAGGTGCAGCCAACCAGTGTGGAGCGTATCTCTGAAACCTCCGAGCAGAGACAGATGCTATCAGGCTCTTCCAGGCCCAGCCTGGCCCTAGGCTCCCCTCCCAGACAGGGTGAGGGCAGGGGCCCGTTAATCATTAATCTGGGGGCAAATGGGTAAATTTCCAGTCCACCAGGCCTACACCCAAACCCCTCCCTGCAACCTGGCAGGAAACCTCAGAGCTTGACCCTTGGCAGGCCTGGAGCAGAACCTGAGGTCAGCTCTGGCTGGGGAGGACGCACCTTGACTGACTTCCAGCAGAGTGGGCGGCTTGGGGGCTGCTGGGAGCAAAGGAAACAGCTGCAGAGACCCCCATGTATCCTCCTCCCCACAACGGGGGCTGGTAGGAGGGGAAACTTTAGCTCACACAGTTCCTGTTTCAGAAGTTGGGATCTTTCTTGTAGAAGCTGATTGACAGACCAGAGAACACGCAGGGAATGATGGGAATCTTGGTCAATGGGACTGCATATCCTTCAAGGCCTGTCTCAAATGCCATTTTAAGAATAATAGCTGCTGGGCGTGGTGGCACATGCCTGTAATCCCAGCGGCTTGGGAGGCTGAGGCAGGAGGATAATGAGTCCAAAGCCAGCCTCAGCCAAAAGCGAGGTGCTAAGCAACTCAGTGAGACYCTGTCTCTAAATAAAATACAAAATAGGGCTGGGATGTGGCTCAGTGGTTGAGACCCCCTGAGTTCAACCTCCAGTACCAAAAGAAAAAGAATAATAGCTATTATTATTCTACCATTATATCTATACATRTCATATTATAAAAATATATTATATATTTATTATATTAAATGTTATACTGTATGTATGCTAGTATACCTACCATTTTTTAGTGCCTATTACTGAGTCATTAAAAAACTATTGTGGACATCTAATTGGGTCGGCTGCCCACACATTCCTTCTATCTACATGGCTACCATGTGGTCCCTATTGGCCATTTCATATTGCATGACCTTGCTGCTCTGATCTGTTGATTGGGTCAATGATGATCACATGACCCAAGCTGGGCCAATCAGTCMTTTCTCTGAGAATTTGGAGTTTGAATAAGAGCACATACAGTTGCTTTCTCTCCCTTTCTCTCATTGGGTGACTGAGCGTGTAACACAAAAGAGGAAGCTGACCCAAAGAGGGAGAAAAAGAATGAACCAAATGAACGGGAAGAACTAGAGATGAGAACATTTTAGGAGGAACATTTTAGGCTCTGGTCCCAAGGTCTTCCTGAGGGTTGGCTGTGCTCTTGCCTAAGACACGCCTTACTGCAGAGTAAAGGCTGAGAGTTGGTTTGTCTAGCTAAGGACATCAGGCTTTGTTGTAACCTTTTGACAGCTGTAGAGCACCAGAATTGCCTCAGCTGCACTGTGAGCAGGGCTCAGTGAAACCCTTCCACTCATCGACAGTCACTGATTTTATAGTTTTCATGTAATAGGTCCTGAGATTGATGGTTCCCAGGTCCAATATCAAGTCGGTTAATTTTATTAGTGGTAATGATACTTAGTAGTGATTAATGGTCAGGAAAGGCAGCCAACCGCACAGAGGCCTCAGGCCACACTGGGCCCTGGTCTGCCCAGGGCTGCTCTCCATGAAGGTTGTCTGGTACTGTTTTTGGGGTCCCTGMAGCCTAAGGGTATTTCCAGAAATGAGTTTTCCTTTTATTTGTAGATTGTGGTTGTACTTCCTTTTAAGAAAGAGTACCATGATATCAAATTTAGAGAAATGACTCCACGTGTTTCCTTAAGCAGGGCTAGTGACCTCCCCTCTGCGTGCTCATCCTGTGGCATCTGCCAGGGAAGGGTTCTTCCTGGACCCCAAAAGAATTCTGGGTGTGACAGGCTCCAGCCTATTTGGTGGTCAACAGCTACATTTCTCTCCCCTGGAAGTACCCCAGGCCTGAGAACCCTCCCATGGGACCCTTGGAGGAAGTCTCCATTACCCACATGTTAGCTGAGCCCCTGGGGGTAAGACAGACAACTGGAAAAGTTCCAGTGAGCTTTGTGGGTCTTATGAATCCAGACAAACTGCAGGTTTTAAGGAAGACACTTCCCTGTGGTCTGTCCCTCACTATCAACCACCAAAGGAGCTAGCATTCGGAACTGGAGAAGAGAAGCCAGAATTTGTGATCTTGCTCATTGATCTTAGGGATGGGAGGACAGCAATTCCTGAGGACCTCTGCTTGAATTGAGTGCTCCTGTGCGGTAGGTGCCCATCACTCCATCAGGCTGCACCTGGCTCAGCTCATCTGCGCCCTTCCTGTCCTCATTGGCCTTCCCCAGGTGACTCCCAGCCTCTTTTCCCAGTAAGAAAGCAACAACCTCTGGACCTTCCTTCTCCTTCCTTGCTTACCCCCAGGCTGAGCCCCTCTGCTTTCTGCAGCTTCTCAATCCACGTCAGGGTGGTCCTAAGACCAGAAGCCTCCACCCTACACACACAATGAAATGCCCTCTGGCTCTGACCCCAGAGCATCCACAACCACATCTGCCCCTGGAAGGAGAAAAGCCAAAGGTTCCCTCAGGACTTATCTCAGACACCCACTCCCAGATCCCCTCTGTCCACTCCTGGCCCTTCCCAACTCCTCCTTCCACACTCTCACACTCCCAGCTGCAGATTTGGCTCATGCTGCCCCATCAGGGTGGCCTTGGGAGAAGCAGCAGAAGGTTCCCAAGGCCCTGGGAAAAGCCTCCTAAGAGATCACTCTGCCTGATGTCAGCAGGACCCCAAGGGCCACTGAAGCCCCAGACTGGGGCTGGAGCTCAACCTTCAACCCTGCCCGCTGGAGGATGGGGACCCAAGGACCTCATCCCCAAGTCTGTTGTGCCTGGGTAGTCTGGTTCCAGGTGTTCCTATTACTCAGGAGTGACATTCATCTAACAAACACRAATTGGCTTGTGAGAGAGCCCGATGGAGCCAGACTTCCTGGGTTCAAATCCTACCTGGACTTCTTGCTGGCTGGGTTGCCTTAGGCAGGGTGCTTTACCTCCTGGGGATAACAACAGAACCTGTCTTTCAGGGTTGATGACAGAATTAAATAAATGAACATTTATAAAGCTCTTATAACAATGCTGGAAACACAGTAAGTTACAGGTGTCATTATTGAGCACCCACTGCATGCCAGGCACTGTGTTGGGCAAGGACACGGTTCTACCCTCAACAAACTCAATAGTGTTGGGAGGGACTTGATTGGATTCAGGAGCCTCCCCCCCAGTTCTTCCAAGGCCCCAAGGAGCGGGAGAAAGAACAATCTTGAACTGGCCTGGCTTCCTGAGGAACAACCAGTAGGTGATCTCCGGGCACCATCTAGGTGACAACCTGACCTTGGCCAATCCTATCCTGCCATCCTGCCTGGGAGTTGCAGGGAAGCAGGAGGAGGCTCTTGGGGAGCACTCCAGGCTGTCTGGGGAAGACTGAGCCAGTGTG